GCCGCGCTCAAGCGGGAGGCAACACGAAATTCAGCTTTGCCGCGAGTTGCTCCGCCTGAGCCCTGGAATCCACCACTCTCTTGTCAAATTCCTCGAGCGACTTGCGACTATGAAGGAGGAGGCTCCCGCCTGAGACTTCCTTGCAACCCACTCACGCGTGAGGGATGCCTTTTGATGTGCCCTTTTGGGGTGCTCAATTGCTATGCCTGTGAAGCGCGGGCCCCATACGGGGGGGGGGGGGGGTCCCGCCTGAGACTTTTTCGATACCCGTTAGCCCCCGCGTGAGACTTCTTCCATATTCACTCCAGAGGAGCCGAAAGATGACGACTGTTACAAGGTTCCGCTGACATGCTCGGATTACCAACATGAAGTGCGGACCCCATAGGGAGGGGGCTCTCGCCTGAGACTTCCTCGCGCCCACTTTTAGACGAAGCTCCCGTCTGAGATTTCTTTCGCATTCAGGCCTGAGGAGCCCAAAAGTGACGACAGTTACAAGATCCCGCTGACCCGCTCGGATTCAAGCCATACAATCCGGGACCCATTGCCAGGGGGCTCCCGCCTGAGACTTCCTTGCAATTCACTCAAGGACGAGGCTCCCGCCTGAGACTTCACCAAGATTCAGGCCTGAGGACCAAGAGTGACGACATTTACCAGATTCCGATGACACGCTCGGATGAAAAACATGAAATGCGGGACCCATAGGCAGGGGGCTCCCGCCTGAGGTTCCCTAGCAGTTCACTCACAGACAAGGCTCCCGCCTGATATTTCTACCATATTCAAGCCGCAGGAGCCCAAAAGTGACGACAGGTGCAGGATCCCGATGACCTGCTAGGATAATTACCCTGGCGACGTACCCAACCCCTGCGCAAAAGCGGGGCGCAAATAGTTTAGGATACTGTATAAGGGGGCGATGACGGAGCGAGGGTTACATATGTCTGCAGACGGAATTCGGGAGACTCGCAGGACACTGGCTACAGGAAAAGGGCTTGATAAAGCTGATGATTTACAATTCCTGAGCACTCCTAGCCACTTCGAAAACGGGGATCACAGCAGGCCTCGAAAGTGGCGACAGGTTCACAGATCGCAGCCCCGCAGGGATGGCGAGGTCTCATTTGAATCTGCCCGTGGCCCTCACTGTGCTGGGCCCCCCAGCAGGCCTCGAAAATGGCGGCAGTTTCGCAGATCGCAGCCCCCCAGGGATGGCGAGGTCTAATTTGAATCCGCGCGTGGCCCTCACTGTGCTGGGCCCCCCAGCAGGCCTCGAAAGTGGCGACAGTTTCACAGATCGCAGCCCCCCAGGGAGGGCGAGGTCTAATTTGGATCTGCCGCGATTACCCTCTATGCTGGACCCCCCAGCAGGCCTCGAAAGTGGCGACAGTTTCACAGATCGCAGCCCCCCCCCCCCCAGGGATGGCGAGGTCTAATTTGAATCTGCCGCGATTACCCTCTATGCTGAGCCCCCCAGCAGGCCTCGAAAGTGGCGACAGTTTCACAGATCGCAGCCCCCCAGGAATGGCGAGGTCTAATTTGGATCTGCCGCGATTACCCTCTATGCTGGACCCCCCAGCAGGCCTCGAAACTGGCGACAGTTTCACAGCCCCCCGCAGGCAAGACAGAAAGAGGCAGGAAAGAGGCGGGAGGCGGGAGGAGGAAGGACGCGACCACACTGCTCTATTCAAAACGAATACCCAACCAAGGAGGGTTGGGAAAAAAACATTACACCAAAGGAAACCCCAATCAGTGGATATTTTGAAAAATGATAATATGGATATTGAAATCGATTGTGAGATCGATACTGAAATCGATCGTGGAATCGATAGTGAAGACGAGTGTAAGGTCGATCGTGAGACCAAGAGTGAAGTCGATTCAATGAGATCGATTGCGAGATCGATCGCAAGATCGCCTTTACGAGCTATAATGACATCGCTTGTGAGATCGATAATGAAATCGATTGTAAAATCGACGGTGAAATCGATAAAGAAAAGGGTCAAGAGATCGATGGTGAGACCGCTCGACAAGAAGATCGACCAAGGTCTCGGGAACCAGGAAACCGCGCCGCCCACCGAAATCGGTCCAAAACCCAGAACCGGAACCCGGGAACCCGGAACCGGGAACTCGGGAACCCGGCCGCCCACCGAAATCGGCCCAGAACTTTCGCCGAATCCTCCAACATCCGCTATAAGACCCCTTGAGCGCAAACACTGATTAGGGAACGGAATGCGGGACCCATCGGCAACGGGTTCCCGCCTGAGGCTTCCTCGCAATTCACTCAAAGACGAGGTTCCCGCCTGAAACGTCCTCCATAGTCAGGCCTGAGGAGCCCAAAAGTGACGATTGTTACAAGATCCCGATGACCCGCTCGGATTCAAAACATGAGGTGCGGCACCCATAGGCAAGGGGCTCCCGCCTGAGGCGTCCTCGCAATTCACTCACAGACGAAGCTCCCGCCTGATATTTCTTTTCATATTCAAGCCGCAGGAGCCCAAAAGTGACGACAGTTACAAAATCCCGATGACCCGCTCGGATTAGAATAACGAATTGTGGAACCCATGGGCAGGGGGCTCCCGCCAGAGACTTCCTTGCAACTCACTCACAGACGAGGCTCCCGTCTGATTCTTCTTTGTATATTCAAGCCACAGGAGCCCAAAAGTGACGACAGTTACAAAATCCCGACGACCCGCTCGGATTACAATGACGAATTGTGGAACCCATAGGCAGGGGGGCTCTCGCCAGAGACTTCCTTGCAACTCACTCACAGACGAGGCTCCCGTCTGAGTCAAGCCGCAAGAGCCCAAAAGTGACGACAGCTTTCAGATTCCGACGACCCGCTCGGATTAAAAACAGGAGCTGCGGGCCCCATAGGGAGGGGTTCCTGCCTGAGGCTTCCTCGCAATCTACTCAGACGAGGCTTCCGCCTGAGACTTCCTCCATGCTCAAGCTTGACGAAACCCACCCTCTCATGTACTCATGAGGGGGTTGCTGTGGGATAGGGTGATGCTGATGATGATCATTGTCACCGTCATGATATTGACGAGCGTGTGAGTGTGCGAGTGCACGAGTGTGTGAGTGATGATGATGATGGTGATGATGATGGTGATGGTGATGAAAGTGAGCGAGTGAGTACAAGATGGTGATGGAGACGCTGATGCTGATGTGTGGGTGAGTGGTCGGATGTGTCAGTGAGTGAGTGGGTGGGTGAGTGAGTGAGTGAGTGAGTGAATGATGATGGTGATGATGATGGTACTGATGATGAGTGTGCCACTGTATGTGAGCGAGTGAGGGGAGGAGAGGGAGCGAGGTGTGAGGTTCCTGCGCAAGGGGGGTGCAGATAAAACCATAGACCCGCTTTAGATGTGGAAAAAAACAGCACCAACAACAACAACAACAACAACAACAACAACAACAAAAACAAAAATAGCAGCAACAATCAGTTTAAGACTGTTCGTAAGTACCTGCTCACGTGCCATTCAACACGTATATGCCAAACCCTCGGAACGGGACCCCTTCGTTTTCGATCGTACACCCTTGGGGGCAAATCTTCCCAATCAAACACTCCGAAGACAGGACAGATGGAAGGAGCAGGGAGCAGGATGCAACACGGGCTGATCGTGCGGGTAGACCCTAGCGGGCGGGTCGGGAAGGCGGGCCCAGGCGGCCAGGTCGAGCAGGCGGGTCGCTGAAGCGAGAGTCCTGCATGAATGAATCGCGAGGAAGTCCCTAAGGACAGCACGATCTCCGAGTAAGTCGTGAGAAAAGCCAGAACCGGAGCGCGATTTCTGAGCGTCGAGGGCGCAGCGCCTGAGTAGATTGCGAGGACGTCCCACGCGAGAGCGCGATTCCTGCATACATTGGAATGAAGTCTCGAGCGGGAGAAGGAGGTTGAAAAAACTTGTGAGGAAGCATCAGGCGGAAGCCGTTGTTGTTGTTGTAGTTCGGGGGGCAAGGACACAATCTGAGGAAGAGTTCCCCTTGTAGAAGAGAAAACAAAAAAAAGAAAAACACGCCAGCCCTGGGAGGAGCACTTCTAAAAAAAAGACACCAGGTGCACCAGGCAGGAGGGATCGACAAAATCTATGTTTCATAAGTGCGAACTCCTCAGCAACAACGACGACAACAACCACAATAACGTTCTCCGACCAAAAGCAACTTGTTCCTGAAGCATGTCGCCATAGAGGTTTTCAAAAACCACATGAGAAATGTGTTTCAACAAAGCCTGCCACGTCTCGAATCTCTGCGCGCGCGCACTTCATCATCACCCGCATCAGCGCTATCGCATCACCACCGTCATCGTCACCATCAATTGCCGCCACTGCCAGCAGCATCATCATCATCACAATCATCTTCATCACCAGTACATAGACATCAGCATTGTCATCATCGTCACCAGCGTGCCGCCGTCATCATCAGCATCGCCTTCATCATCGCTGGCATCATCATCGTTACCACCGTCGTCGGCGTCATCATGATATCGCGCCATCCAGGGTCACCGACACGCACTGAAGTGCCCGCGCAGCAGCGCGGGCTTGGAGACGCGCTGGGAAGTTCCCATCAGTGAGCGACACCGAGGCCGCAGCAGCTGTACCAGACCAGCTGGTCCGTGTTGGCGCGAGCGTGCGTACGCCGGCGCGGTCGTAGAGATGCGCTAGCAAGTGCCAATCAGTAACCTGAAGCCTGGACTGGGTGTTGCCAAACAAAGTGCGGGTGGAGGATGAGGCGTTTGCGCGAGCATTGGAGTTGACAACTTCGAGTTCTGCAAAACGGATTGCGCCACATAGGTTGCACTCAGTAGCTCGCACCACAGAGCTTCCCCACATGGATTGAACCACATAGCGCGCACCACGTAGCTTGCACCAGATGTATTGCATCACATAGCTTGCATCACGCAGCTTTCACCACATAGCTTGCACCACATAGCTCGCACCACGTGACGTGGTTGCATCACACAGCTGGCAACACGTAGATTCTGCCACATTGCTCGCTGCATACGGATTGCCCCATTTTTGCAGAACGCACCGCACGGCTTGCACGCACGTAGACTGCACATTGCGGTTGCCACGGCCCACTGCTGGGGTTCCACACCGCCTAAAATTTCTGGCAGGACATCTGTTATCTCTGTTCCCTCGTGTTCCGCGCGGCCGCGGGTCTCCCAGGCTACTCGCTCGTGTATCGAGGCCAGACTTCACCTGGCGGAGTCCAGCGGCACCCAGCGGCAGGGATCATCCGCGAGCACGCGCCGCAGGCCTCCGCGAGCTGCCGAATGCGGCACGCCCTGTGGGCATCTCGCCCAGCAGCTCCAGGCGATCCAGGACGTGCAGCAGCCCTGGGTCTGCCCGCGCTTCCTGGGCAGCGCGTGAACGGGCAATCTCCAGGTCGGCAGCGCTGGGAGCGTCGAGCAGGGCATGCTGCTGCTCCAGGAGCTGTATCGCTCGGCCTGCGTTGGGATGCCGCGCCAGGTGGCACATGGAGCTCATCGCCGCCTCTTGCGCTGAATCTCCGGCCCAAAGTCCAGCTACCAACAGGGCCTGCACCACCTCCACGACGCCAGGATCTCCCATCTGCGTGAAGGGCACGCTGTTCCGAAGCCGCAGCGCCCTGCGAACTGTCCGAGCAGCAGGCTCACTGCGCGCCAAGACCTCCCGCACGGCACCCTCGTCGCGCACGAAGACCTCCAAGTGCCACGGGTAAAAAGCTCTTATGTCTCCACCGTCCTCCAGCCTCACGTTGTAGCGACAGCTGGACAGGCTGTATTTCAGAATCTCTGCGACCGCTCCGTTGAGGGACGCATCCTCCCCTGGGAGCCCCACCAGCCGCGCGCGCGCGCCCGTGACGAAGAGCTGGTCCGCGCCCCGCACCTGGCCGGCCATCTGGCCCATAGACAGCGCCGGCGCTGGGGCTGCTGGGAGAAGCCGCAGTGCTTCCTCGTGCACCGCCTCCGGGCCAGCGGCTCCCGCGCCCACCGGGATCGCCGCGCGCTGGCCCGCGAGCTCGCCTGCGGCACCCCGCTCGAGCAGGCGCACGACGCGGCCATGGGCGCGGCCTCCCTCTGGCGCGGCGGCCAGCGGAGCCACGCTGACGGCAGTGCCGGCCGGCAGGCGCCGCACGAAGGCAGCGCCCGCGTCGGCGACAGTCGCCTCGTCGTGTTCGGAGAGCGCCACTTCTGGGTCCGCGCGCACCTGTGACAAGAAGTCGGCCAGCGGCGTGGCGTACAGCAGCTCGTCGGCGGGCGGGGGTTGCTCGTCGCAGTCACGGGGCAGCAGCGGCCGCAGGTGCCTCAGCGCGGTGGAGGCCTCGACTGGCGAGCCCCCCTCTGAAGAGAGCAAGAATTTCGACTTGACCGCATCCGGGGAGATGCCGTACGCGTATTCTGGCGTCGTAAAGATGCACAGCGGCACCAGGGAGGGAGCCCCGCGAGCATCGGGATGGTGTTGCGTCGGGGCGGCGACGTACTCGAAGACGTCGACGGAGGGGCCACAGAGATCCACGTGGACCATCTGCCGCTGAGGCTGGCTGCCCACAGCCGCTGCCAGCCAGCAGTAAGGAAAAGCCCTCGGAAGGCTGGGGACGTCCTGGTCATGGCCGCACCCACCGAGCCCCGCGTGGTCCTCCGTGCCTGATTGGGGGTCCTAAAACCGTGTGGTGACAGACCGCGCGGAGTCCTCGAAATCCCAAGGGATCTGACCGCACGGTCCGGCGGTGTGGGGACCCTGGAAGCACCAGTCGCCCGAGAGGTCCTCGGAGAACGACCCGAGTCCCAAAACCGTGCGGTGACCCCGAATCCCCACTGGCTTACCACTCGGTGTGGTCACTACACCGTTTGGGGGCCCCCCCGCCTGGACTCGTGGGTGGAACCTCGAAACTGCCAACCTCTGGGATGACCACGCGCAGAGACGGCAGGTCTTCGGCCGGCAGCCGGTCGACGGTGAGCGCCAGGAGGCTGCAGACGGGCTGGCCTCGGTGCGCGAGCTGGAAGCCGCGGTCGCAGAGCCACCTCAGCACCGCTCCGAAGAAGGCCGTGGCCCGGAAGCAGCACTGGCCGCGGACGAACTTCCAGTAGCGGTCCCGGCGGATCGCCTCCGGCAGCGCGGCGCGGCCCGTGGGCCAGAAGCCCTCGGGGCCCTGCACGGGCACGCCGGCGGCGGCCAGCTCCAGGGCGTGCTCGCCGAGCACCCTCGCGACCACGAAGCCGCTCTCGCAGACGGACGAGCGCTGGAGCGCCAGGGAGACCCATGCCCCGACGTCGGCCAGCTCCAGCTGGCAGAACGACAGCCCTGCCCCCCAGAGTGGCTCCCGCTGGCTCTCGGCCAGGTGCTCCAAGACGCGCTCGTTGCGCTCCACCGCGTCCAGCAGGAAGCCCGGCTGGCCCAGCACCTCTTCTGGGGTGTACTCCAGCGCGCATGCAGCCCGGGCGAGCGCGTCCAGGACGAAGTCCCGGTCGAACCACGGCTCCGAGGCAGACCTGTCGAATGCGAGGGTGGCATCTATCTCCGCGGCTGCCAGCACAAACCCCGGGTCTTCCCACAGATCGTCGTGCGCGTGCTCCTGGGGAGGCCAAAAGGTACCGACACCGCTACCCCCCAGACCTCTCCCCGTGCGAAGTCTGACCAGAATGTCGAGGCGAATCTAGCGGTGGTGACGAGGCCCTCCCTCCCAGGAGGCCCAGAAAGGCGACAGCGAGGCAGGGATAGCAGTATATCCGTACCTTTCCTCCTCTGATCTCCAGCGCGGAGGCGCTCCACCCAGCAGCCTCCAGGACGAAGCGGCGATCTGCTCGGAGCTCCGCGGCCGCGTACTGCAGCGCGGCCCCGTCCTCCTGCACGGCGGCCAGCACCGCGGAGCGGTCGGCGCGCAGCGCGGGCGCCGCCGCCCCGAGCGCCAGCCCGTTGGCCCTCAGCGCCCTGAGCACGAAATGGCGGTCCTCGTCCTCCTCCTCCTCCTCCTCCTCCTCCTCCTCCTCCTCCTCCTCCTCCTCCTCCTCCTCCTCCTCCTCCTCCTCCTCCTCCTCCTCCTTGAAAAACATAACGGTATCCACGGCCTCGCCCCTGGGCCGCGGCCCCGCGGATACGGGGCGCCTTCTCGCGGATGCCCCGCGCGGAAGGTGGCCCTGCGGCCGCATATCCGCGGGACCGCACCCAGGAACCCAGGCCGCGAGGGCGCGGATGCGGATATGCTCGCCGCTCGCCGCTCGCGAGGTCCGTGGCGAGCTCTGGGGCGACGTGGAGCAGCGCGAAGCCGGCCTGCCGGATGGCCGCGAGTGCCACCAGCGGGTCGCCGCGCAGCGCGTCGGCGGCGTGCTGCAGCGCGAGCCCGTGCCGCGCCACGGCTGCCAGCACGGCCTCGCGATCGGCGCGCACGGCCAGGGGCGCCTCGCGCAGGCACTGGCCTCCTGCGCCCGAGGGCGAGCGGATGCTCGAGGAGGAGAAGTTGGCACGAGCATGCGGTCGGGAACTTCGCTTAGCGTGTCGCGGCCTCGTCGCGAGCTGATAGCGCGTCGCTCCGCTCCACGGGGCGGGAGACGGGGCAGAGCGCGGGGCGTGGACGCTTGGACGCTGGAAATTGGCAGCGTGTCGCGCCGAAGCGTGGTGGGCCAGAACCGGCGGAGCGACACGCTGAGCCAGTGCTCCTTACCAGAAACTCTCGAAGCTCGGCGCGGGCCTCAGCGCCGACGCCAAGAGCTCCGCGCGGCGAACCACCGAGAGCCTGTGCTCATGCTCTGTTCGGCTCCTCGAGGATGCGCTGGAGCCACTCGTGGAGCTCGGCTGGGCGCTTCGTCAGAACCACCTCCACCGCGCGCGGGGGCGCGGCCTCCGCGCCGCCGCGCGCGGGGCTCAGCGCCAGGGCGTCGCGCAGCAACTCTCCGTCGCCCAACAGTTCGCCCTCCGCGCCGACCGGCTGCAGGAGCTGCTCGGCCACGGGAACGCCGAGCTCCCGCCACACGGCGGCCTTCAGGTCGCCCACCGTCGTCTCGCCAGCGTCGGCGGAAACGGTGACACTCCGCCCGCCCAGCCCGCTGACCCGCAGCCGCACCGCCATCGCCGCCCCCGCGGCGGGGCGGCGCGGCAGTGGCCTGGGCACGTCAGCTCGAGCCAGGAGCTGCTCCAGGCTCGAGCAGAGGGAGAGAAGGAGCGGGCCAGAGGAGAGCCATCACGCGCGCCTGCCGCTGCAGCACAAAATCCCGTCCCAGGCCCCCACCTCACAATTCAGCACACATTCTGTCCCACTACGGCGGGCGTCCGTTGGTTATGTGAGGAGCCCGTGGAACTGCATGGTGGGAGCCCTGCGTGCTTGAAATGCACGGACACGAACAGGTTTGGGTTCGTCCACTTAACGCTACAAGCACACGATGCGTTTGAGGAAGCATCGCTCTCCATCCGATGCAACTGGCAGAAGCTTTGAGAAACCGACACAACAGCACGAGTATGAAAAACGCAATATACAGCGGTGCAGCTGTTGAATGTGAAGCTTGATGATCCTGTAAC